TCAAACAAACTACAGACCTTCATCAACAACTGTCTTCACACAATACTACTCAAGGTCAGATAGCTGGTCAGAAAAGATCAGCAACAGGGAAGGATCACTGGGAGCAAATCAACTCAGCAGGAACCAATTGTGCAACAAATATGCAAGAAGAAATGGAGGCTGATTGGATGCCATACTCTGAGAAAACAAATCATCAAGTGACATTACACGCCAGGATATCTCTAGAGTGGAACCCAAATGGCAAGGGGAGAGTTGGTCGTCAATGCAAGGGTAACATGGAGGTATAGAAGTGGGCAGACGTGGGCCAGGTCAAAACGTTGGCAGAGAACCGAGCACAATGCAGACGTTTGGCTGAAGCCCTATGTTACTCTAGGAACTAAAGGAAACAATAATAATGTAATAATAATTGGTGCAATAAATTAGCATTCCAGGTTCAGAGTAAATGAACAACAGACTTCTACTAAAACTACTAATGGCTATCGCTTGTTGACACTAAGACAGTTTGTGTGTGTATGTGCGTGTGTGTGATTAGGCGACTCAATGAAGAAATCTGCAGCATTCATTAGACACGGTGAATTTAAGATGAAATATTTCATGAAAAAAATATAGAACTAATAAAAATTAGGGTGTGTGTGTGTGTTTGTGGCTGACTGCCTTAAAAATTTGACTTTCAACCGATGCGTGTTGGTTTCTAATCTTGCTTCACCTAATTCAACCCTGGTTAACTGAGAAGTAAGATCAGTGTGTGATCGGTAGATTATAAAATGCAGAATGTACAGAATGGTGAGCTAAAACTTAAAATGGTTCTTGCACTTTTACAAATCGAATCACAAATTTAAATGTGGCTGTAGGTGAAATGAAACAAAAATAACAGATAGAGAAATCATCGTTCAGAGAATAATAATCATTGCCATAAAATCTACTCATAAATAATAATAATAATAATAATAATAGCTTTATTCCAAACAGTATTTGTGGTACAGGTATGGAATTTTCAGCGTGCATTACAGTATATTACAGTATATTGCATCTAATTACCTCATAAATTATATAAGATTTTTAAAAATCAAAGATAAATAAATAAAAATAAAATAAATAAGTTATAAATAAATAAAATAAATAAATATTAGAAATTAAGAAAAAAAACAACGTAGAGTATTTCATTTCAAACAATGCAACACAGGATTTGAAATATAAAGTTGATGTGTGGTAGTAAATGAGAACAACAGTGTAATAGTAACGAGGAAAGGAAAACAAAAACTAATGGGACTATTTGTTAGAGTGCCGCAGTAAGTTTATCGTGTCATACCTAACGGATTTCTCATCACATAACAGCTGTGCCAGATATGGTATTGTGGACTTTTTGTATTTGGTAGTCCTAGCATATAGCCGCCTATAGCTGCTTCTAGTTCTACCAGATGAAATGCAAGGAGATAGATGTGTATAGAGAGGATGCTTGGGGTCCGACAATATTGTATTTGCTAGTTTCTTACATGATATAATATGTCTATCTACAATAGTGTTCACCAGTTGGTTTAACGATATCCCACTTGCCCTACTAACAGCTTTTAGTGCCCTTCTCAGCGAAGCAAAGTCTTTCTTAAGTAGTCCAGGAAAGACTAATGGGGAGCAGTAAAGGAGGATGGGTAGAATACAAGAATTTACAAACTGAGAAAGTAAAGACTGGTTTATGCCAGACTGCCTAAATTTCCTAATGTAGAACGTTAAGCGAAACATCTTTCTAGTAACTAGCAAGATGTGGGAAGACCAGGAAAGATCGGTGGAAAAACTCAGCCCAAGGTACTTGACATAAGATGTATTTTCAACCTCTGTGCCGTCAATGAGAGTGGGGCCATGTGAGCTAACTAGTTGCTGTAGGTCACATTTACGTCTGAAACTGAAATTGACTACCTGACATTTAGACGGATTAAGCTTAAGTCCGTTTGAAGAGGACCACTGACTAATTTCCGACAAAAAGCTATTTAATTTGGAACAATCTGACTGAGAGTTGACAGGCATAGAAACCGAGAGGTCATCGGCATATTTAACAAAAGTGGCTACATCAGAATGAGGCAAGTCATGTAAGAAAAACGAGAACAGAAAGGGAGAAAGAACAGCACCTTGAGGGACACCAGCTAAAGTAAGTGAGGTAGTGGAGGATTTTCCATTGTAGACGGTGTACTGCTTCCTTTCAGAAAAATAGGAATGCAACCACTTATTTGTCCAGCTTTCAGCCTGTGTTGCAGCAAGCTTACTTAGCAAGAGAGACCTGGGAACAGAGTCAAATGCAGATGTGTAATCAAGGAAGGCACAGCGAACGTATTTAGCTCCTTTATCTAAACTAGAGACTATGCTATGGTGGAGGACGACAGCGGCATCTAACGTACTCCTACTATGTTTATAAGCAAACTGGTTGGGGTCGTTGAAAGGTTTTAAAGAGGGATCAAGATTAAGTAAAATAAGTCTTTCCATAACTTTCAAAAAGGGTGAGGTAATTGAAATGGGTCTAAACTTAACATTTGGTCCACTTGTGCAAATCAGATAACCTATTGTGTACGATAAAAAGAGAAACAATCATACCTTAAACTTATTCCTTAATAGTTAAATCTTGAATGCTAGTCACCATAACGATATATTAAAAGCTATGAATTTCGATATCAGGAAGTCCGGCCTGCTAGTTAACACTCACCAGTCAATTATCAAGGCGTATCTGCAGTCTTGAAGGGTCTCATGTCCTTTCTGAGATTCGAACCCCCCGTTGCTCCGTGTTGCACTTAGAAATGCCACCACTAGGTCTAAGGCTTCCTACTAATCGCCTCCAAACATCTAGTAACAATAATTCACAATGCAGTACATCTTGATGGCAAGCCACCTGTTGGCATGGTAGTCACATTAAAAACTTGACTGAAAGAACAAGATACATTACTCTAATTACTAGCGAGTGTCCAGTCGCAGTAGCTATGACTTTTTCCAGTCGAACACTGTGTCATACTTAGATCTGGAAGTCGAAGAAAGTTGTCAACTTCAGCCTGATAATTGTGAACACGAAAAAAAAGCCAAGTTCAAGCAAATGTTTGCGCCGAATACAACAACAACTTTTGATGTGGCTGTGTTATCTGAGCTGGATAGTTGACTAGCGAAGCTTTCATCACCCTACTGGGTGACATCTTCAGCGCATACTTCAATTTACTGAAGTGAGCTTTTAGATTTCTCCACGAGTTTATTAATCATCTCTCCTGGTGGATGACCTTGGATGTGATTGGTGGCTTTTGTGTGTTTTCGAACCCTCTAGGCTACATTTGTATTGGAACTGATTGTTTCTTTGACTTGAACTTTAACCCTTTGTGTGTGTGTGAGGTTTCTTTCTTATCGGTTGATATATTTTGTTCATCTCGATGTGTCTATTGATTGATGATTCACTGGAATGCCAAGCTTCTAAAAATTCTCTGGCTAGCATTCTTGAGGTTTCCTCTGTCTAATATTTGAACGTTGTCACAGTCGAATTGATGTCCGTGGTTGTCTGTGTGAAGTGATGTGAGGGAGTGGATATCATGTCTTTTGGCCACTTGTTTGTGTTCATGGACACCAATACGAAGGGAACGTCCACTTTGGCCAATGTAGTGTTCTTCGCAGTTACAATTTATTTTGTAGATAATGCTTGTTGAGTGTTTTGATTGACATAGAGGCAGTTGAGTGAAGTGACTCTGTTGGTGTTTGTGTACGACGTTAATTCCTAAGGGTTTGAAGAGGTTTGTGGTGATTTCTGAGATATCCTTTATGTATGGTAAGGCGATTTTCTTTGTGCTTTCCTTGGTGGCTTTTGCTTTGATAGGTTGGCTTGGGGGTATATGTCTTTTGATGAAATTCCGTGGATATCCATTCTTTTGAAAGACGTCCATGAGATACTTTTCTTCAGTTTAATTATTAATTAATTAAATTATTAAACTCGTGGAGAAATCTAAAAGCTCACTTCAAATTGAAGTATGCGCTGAAGATGTCACCCAGTAGGGTGATGAAAGCTTCGCAAATCAACTATCCAGCTCAGAAAACACAACCACATCAAAATCATCCACCTGAGCTACAAATCTTCTCTATCATATCTACAAGGACAACTTTTGAGTAGAATCAGAGAGCAAATTCCATCTTTTGGATGTTTTAGTCAAGTGAACAAATAGAGGAAAATTAAGAACACCAGCACACAGAAGCTCAACTCGCATTCAGATTAAATACTCCTATATAAGGTGTGTTGGTGGCCACAGCGGTAGAATGCTCACCAACCACGTCACGATCGACGCATGCCATTACCTCTCTGAGCCAGCAATAAGACTGGTAAAGAGGGAAGGTTGGGCATAAGACTGACAACCCCATTCCGTAAAAATAAACACCATTGTTACAGAAAATTCAAGCCTCTAGTTTGAAGCCGCCTTTATGTTCCAACACTGGGAACGTAAAGGAATAAGCGAAAATAAACTCAAACACAAAATCCACAATCCAACAGTATACAAAAGAGACTGTATACAAATATTAAAGAACCAGGACCCCATAGTGCTTCTGTCTTGAGAAGAAGAGAACAGAGGCTTTCAGGAAGCCATTTTGATTATATTGCCTGGAAATATATTAAATGGTTGAACTGAATAAGTATACTCATTAATATACTAGCATAACAGTTAACTGTGTTGCTTCATATATCTCCAGTTATTATTTCGTGTGTAAAGCTCATTCTTGTCTATGAATGACATCGTCTGGAGAACTAATAAGCAATTAAAACGACCCACAAGGTGTTTTAAACTACTCTGATCATCATCACTTCTGTCGGCCTAAGATCCGACGGAGGATAGACGTAGAATAAGCGCTCAGTTCACGCTCTTATGTACGTATCTTCATCAGTCCGCAGTAATAACGCCACAAATTTTACAATTCTTGTCTTTTAAGCCCGTGTAAAAACATTTATCATCAATGCAGGTATTCACTCCCGCTTTTTTCTTTTTCTCCCCCAACAGAACCTGAAATCGATTTCGCTTGTTTACCACCAAAAGACTTACATCTAAATCCAAATTCAAAATGTTATGCTGTTGGATGGGGAAGTAATAAAGGCGGAAAAGTTCCCACCTTCGATAATTTACACAGTATCCTTGAATCGTTATTTGTACCATTTCCAAGTTTCTTTAATTCACCATTTGCATTCAGTAGAGAATCAAGTCTATGGAATTTGAAGGCAGAAACAGATGATTCAACTAAAGTGCTGCATGAAGTCCAGTTGCCAATTGTACCAATGGAAGAATGTCGTAGACATTATGCTGATATCAGCTCTAAAGTTCATATTTGTGCAGGTGCTAAAAACAAAGTAAGAGTTATTGCATCATCCATTACTTTGCCTTTTACTTTATCACTTTATGTTGTGGGTCAAGCGTGAGGCTTCAAGCTAGAGGTTTGAAGTGACAATAGAAGTGAGTTTATTTTTACTGGGTTGGGTTTTTAGCTTCACGCCAGCCCGATCTTCCCCCTTTACTGGGTTTATTACTAGCTTAGAGAAGTTTAGGAGCGCATTGGCTGGGGACCGAACCCCTGACCACATGCGGGATTGTCCAGCTTTCTATCAATGGTAATTACAACAGTCTACTCATTGCGTTGAACTTCATTCTTTTCTGAAAGAAATTATTGTGCTTTGAATCAGTCCTAAGTTTAGTATACAATTGGTAGATGGTAGTTAGCATTGGAATCCAGGATGCACATTTCGTCCTATTTGGGACTCGTCATCTGGATGTACCTGCATTTCTCAGCGAGTGATGATGTTCCCACTGAGGCTCGAACCCAGTGATCATAGTTTCAAACGCCAAAGCGTTATCCACTAGACCACTTGGGTACTGGGTTCGAGCCTCAGTAATAACATCACTCACTGAGAAATGCAGGCACATCCAGCTGACGAGTCCCAAACAGGGCGGAATGCGCATCCTGGATTCCACCGCTAGCCACTATCCACCAGTTGCGTACTAATTAAATGCCCAGACATCGTCGAAGCATCTGCACAAGAAGCCGACATGTCAACCTGAGACCGAGCACTTCGGTCCAATCAATCGACGGGAAAATCAAAAATTCAATTCAATAGTCTTAAGTTTACTTTGCTGAAAATGGCAACTAGCACTGTAGTTTATGAAGTACGTTCCATCCTGCTTGGGATTCGTCAGTTAAATGTAACTGACCCCTGGTATGATGACAAATACAAAGCAACCTAAACTAATAAAAGATGACGGCTCTTGTAGCTCGATAACCTAATGGAAAACACTATCCCTTTGGAAACATCGGGGGAACGGTTTCGAATTGTGCTATAATCAAAGCTACCCACTGAGAATGCAGGTACATTCAACTGATGAGTCACAAAAAGGATGAAACACGTCTCCTGAATTCCACTGCTAGTTACCGCCAACCAAGAAACACCTTGATACTCTCAAGACATCTTCCAAGCATCCACACGAAGAGGAGCTAACATATCAACAGAAACCAAGCATCTCGGTCCACTGTAATGAATAACACAGGAAATATCGAATAACCCGAACGAATAGTCTTAATTTTGAATGAAGTTAAGAAACTAGCATAATATTTTATTGCGTAATGATACTGACCTCAGAATAGAAAGTAGTAAGGTATTTTTTTTCTTTCATGTTCCCCATTGGAACATAGGGCTTCAAGCTAGTGGCTTGAAGTTTCTGTAGCAGTGTTTATTTTACAGGATGGGGTTGCTAGCCTCATACCCAACCTTTCCCTTTTTACCAGCATTATTTCTGGCTTAGCGAGGTAAAGGAGTGCGTCCATGACCGGGGATCGAAACACGGACCCTGTACATGATCGGTGAGCGTCCTAACCGCTATGCCACCGACGCAGTAAAGCATATGTTTCCCTTAAAATGCTGAAATCAAAACGTCTGCTGTAATTCAGCAATATTTTTGATGTAGTTATATTCTCTGAGCGAGATGGTCTACTTGCTGATCACCGCCAGTGTTCTGTGAAATAGAAGATACAAGGAACACAGCCGAAATGTTCTCATAACTAAGCTAGACAAAATCAAAAAAACAACAACCAGACAGCATTCAAGTACTGGTTTGTTAGAATTTCGTTTGATTGGTTACAGGATTTCATCATGATCTGAAATCGGTTAGAGAACCATTGGAAAACCTGCAGGGAGTACTGGACAGGTGTTTCGTCAGTATAGTTCGGGACTCTGCATTAGTGGTTCAAACCCGATGATGAGATCCTCTAACCAATCAAACAAAATTCCCTACAAAACCAATACTTGAAATTTAATCTGATGCTCACCAGCAACCTGCTCTATTCAGGCAGTTAACCTGGGGTTCTTGTGAAAAGCCATGACTAGTAGGGTACAGCAGGTTAAAAGTGAGGCAGTAACTCATCGAAGAGGAAGCGTGGTGGTTGTGCTATGTCATGAATTGGAAGGAGTTGGAATTCATGGGATTAATGGTCTAAGAGCTCGCTAGCCTTGTAACCAGAAGGTCCTGGGTTCTAACCTTGGCAGTGTGCGCGTACTGATAAAGAGTCCCAAACTAGGACGAAACAGATGTCCAGTACTCGGGTGGTGGTTTTCCAATGGTTCTCTAACTGATCTGAGCTCATGATGAAATCCTCCAAACAATACTTCTGAATTATTTGTAACCTCCTCAGAGGTTCTTCATATAGCTTTGATCCTTCTATATCTACACTCTTTCACACATACCCTATCTTAAATCCTTCTTCTACAATCTGTTACTTACAAATCAGTTACAGGCTGTAGCATAGGAGTTAGTAAGAATCCATGTAGTTTTTGAAAGCGTGTTAGGTAATCCTTTGTTTCTCCGTTTTACTTTAAGTCTAGAAATTGTTCTCTTAAAGGAGAAAGTGAAGATGGATTGGACACTCGCTGAGGAGACCGCTGGATGACATCGCGCGTCAAGCCCTCGAGTGGAACCCGAAGAAGAAGCGGCGTGTGGGATGTCCAAGGGTGACATGGAGGAGATGGTGTGAAGAGGAGTTGAAACAGTATAGACTAACATGGATGCAGGTGAAAAGTATAGCAGAAGCAAGACAGAAGCAAGTGGAGACATGCAGTTGAAGCCCTATGTTCCACTAGGAACCCAAGGGAGCAACAATAATAATATAAAGGAAAACTAAGCGGATAGTGACTAGCAGTGGAATAGAGGATTATATGTATTTCATCCTCTTCGGCTGACGAGTCCCAAATAGGATGAAATGTGCATCTTGTTGGATTCCATTGCTAGTCGCGATCTACCAGTTTACTTCAAGTTAAAACCTCAGATATTGTCAAAATATCCAATCAAGGAACTGACATGTCACAGAAACCAGAGGCCGAGCTCTTCGGTCCAATCAATCCATTTTGGAAAGTCCAAATTGTGAATTAAATGTAATTGTTTGCTTATCTTTTCTTTTCTTTTTTATTTCTAGGATACATGCGCAGGTGATAGTGGTGGAGGTCTCTACTGTCAGTTAGGTGATACAAATCAATGGTATGTAATCGGTGTCACCAGTTTCGGTTTAGCTCGTGGTTGTGGTTTGAATCCTGGTGTCTACACGTCAACTTCATCGCATATCGAATGGTTATCGAAACAGTTAGCAACAAAAGTGTTTAAATAATTAGTAAGAAGAGAGAATATGAAGAAGAAGAAAGAGAATAAAAGTTATATATTTGTTCACTCACACACACACACACAAACACACACTTATGAACAGACATAATTAGTAACAATGATGTAACAATGTAATCATCATTATCATTATCTATTTGGTTATTTATTCTGACGAGTCGATTACGCAATTACTGATGATTTAATTTATTACTGATTTATGTAAAGAAAGATTAGTATACTGCATAAATATTGTTAACTAATTACGTCAGCCTTTTGTTCAGTATTGTCGCTGGATTTCATCATGAGCTGACATTTCGGTTAGAGAACCATTGGAAAACCACCACTTGAGTAATGGACAGTCAGCTGCTGATTCAGCCTAGTTTAGGACTCTTTGTCAGTACATACCCATCCCACTATCAAGGTTCGAACCGAGGACCTTCTGTCTAGTAGAGCATTAGACTACTGGGATCTGCCTCCTCAATGGCCAGTCCATGAGTTCCAACATCTGAGTACTGAAGAAGAGTCCTAAATGGACAGCTGTCTGGAGTTGCAATGGTTCTCAAACGGATGTCAGTTCATGGTGAAACTCTGTAGCCAATCAATAATAATAATAATAATCTACTTTATTCCAAAACAGACAGTACTTATAATACAGAATGGAATTCTCAGCATATGTCACAGTACTGCATCTGATTTACTTGAAATATAAATAAAATTAAAAATTAAGACAAAATTAACCAGAGGAACTTGTCCACGTTTACGATATAAAGCAAAAAATATTCGAATCACGAATTGAGAATATTAAATATAATAATAATAAAAACAGTATTGTCGATTCATTTAGGAAATTTTAGCATGTTATTATAGAGTATGGAATCTAATGTTCTGTCGATATAGTATGGTGAGCGGAAATACAAAATTAACAATTATAACACACCTATGAAAAAAAATAAACAAATAAAAAGAAAAACTTGAGAGGACTATAGATATAAGAAATACAAAAACAATGAAGTTTGGTACCGTAAGGGTGGAAGGAATGGTTTATTTAGTAGTGCAAAGAAGGTTAGTTAGTTTATGCCTGACACCATTTTCATCACATGAAGTACGTGCTAAATATGGTATAGTGGAATTTTTATACTTAGACGTACGTGCATAAAGTCTTCTGGAAAGACTTCTTGTTTTACCTGAGGAGACACAAGGTTGGATCTTTGGGTGTTGGTGTGGTTGCTCACAGTCTGACAAAATTCCTTTAGCAAGTTTGTTGCATGACAAAAAGTGTCTATCAATGATAATGTCAACGATATGGCCCAATGGGATACCACTCGCCCTACTGACCGACAGTCTTCAGAGTCCTACGAATTATAGCATAGTCTTTTAAGCAATCCGGGAAAGAATAAGGGTGAACGGTGAATAAGAATAGGAAAGATGCACGAGTTGACAAACTGCAAAAGGAGTAGTTGAGTTATGCCTGAATGCTTCAACTTCTTAATGTAAAACATCAGACGAAATGTTCTTTTAGAAGTCGCTAAGACATAGGAAGACCAGGATTGGTCAGTAGAAAGAATTAATCCAAGATATTTAACGTCAGACACTTATAAAGTTATATTTGTAAAATCTCAGCGAAATTGAAATGATTAATTCCAACGTTTCGTTCGGCAATCTGGTCCGAACTTCTTCAGGGAAATTAATCGAAATTAACATAACAAAGTTTATATATAAAGGGAAACATCTTGTTTTTAAAATTCTTGTCCAATCATGAATCGTGCAACACCTAATTTTCTTAACTGGTTTTGTATTACGTAACGTCAATTACCAATCTTCAGCTGTTTAGTTAAAATAACCATAACCATTAACAGTTGTCTTCACTCATTACTCAAGATCAGATGGCCAGAAAAGATCAGAAACAGGGATCTCTGCCAATAAGCAAACCAACTAGGAACCGATAGTGAAACAAATAGTCAGGAAGAAATGGAGATGGATTGGCCATACTCTGAGGAAACCATCAAGTGACATCACTAGACAAGCCATTGCTGGAGTGGAACCCGAAAGGCAAGCGGCGAGTTGGTCGTCAGTGTAAGGGTGACTTGGAGGAGGTTATGTGAAGAGGAGATGAAAGCATGTGGGCAGACTTGGAGCAGGGTGAAAAAGTTTGCAGAAAACCGAAGGCTATGGAGACACGCAGCTGAAGCCCTATGTTCCTCTAGGAATTAAAGGATATAATAATAATAATTGTATTTTTATTTGACAAACTTAATCTACACATACATACAGAATAACACATATATTTGCGATTGTACAGCTTAGAAAATGAATTCGCCGCCGAAAAGAGACTCTTCTCTGATCTACGTGTTTTGTAAGAGAAGTAGCCTGTTATATCACTTTGTTAAGGTTATTCAGCTTAGCTGAGAATTCACTCTGATAGACATCAGCGAGAAAAGCCATTATTAAGGGATATTGAACAGTTAATTCATCCTTGTTTGAAACCTTTCATTGGTGAACAGTGGTAACCTCATGAGAACCATACTGCCAGTTAGCAAGTGGATGAGTGTGTAAGTCGTTCGAAAAGTAAATTTACCACCCAACCTCCCCACATACTTCCTCCCCACTTCGTTTTCATCTCCTTGATACGATGATGGAGCAAAATCGATCAATTGCAATCTGAATTTTCACAGGTAATCAATCGATCTGATGTGATTTTGTATTACATGTTTAAAGGAATACCGTAATCATCATATCAGGTGTTACGTTTGAATGTTTTGAAAGGTATTGTATCAGTTTCTTATATAATCAGAATATCTGTTATAGTATTTGATATACTATACACAAAAACACCTTGCACCGGGATCACTTTTATACTCACCCCTAGCAGTTCATAACAAAATCAGCTGGTTATTATCTAAGCACTGACTAAAAATCAATAAAATTCAGTCAGTTGGAGATTCATTCACTTTAGCTCAGTATAAGTGTAACAACAGAAGACAAGGGCCAGGCAACAGATCGTTTTATTATGAAAATCAACGCGTATTTATACATCTTTCAACTACATTATTATAGACAAGCGCAGTCATCTGATTGGTTGTTTAGGTAGACAAACGCAGGCTTCTGATTGGTTGTTTCGGGATTCCTTGACAAATAGAGTTCTCTCTGCGAATCATATTCTGCCACGTTAACTTTGCTGTGATTGGTTGTTGACTCAGGCTTGTTCATATTTTCTCACGGCCCATATTAGTGACCTAGACCTTAACGTAGATTAGTGCCAACCAATCGGCTAGCAGCCTGCTCTCACCACATAAGTATAGATAAACTTAATGGAAACAGCTATATACCTTTCAAAGATAAATTCCGTTCAGCTTTTTTTAAGCAGTTCTACAAACAAAAGAATGTTTTAGAATTAAAATATGTAGATGACAGTTAGGATGTAATTTTTATTGAGAAAAAAGTTCTTCATAATTATATATTTTTAGCCGCATTCAAATCTATTCTAGGGCAATAGAAATAGATTGTTCTGATTGGTAGACTGATTTGACTAGGTCCACGACAAATAAATATTCTGATTGGTTGATAACTTGACCAATAGGAAGGTGAGAAAAAGGATGATGAAATTTTACAGACATTCGATTCCAGGATCAATCATATAATGAATCACAAGATGATTACTATTTTAAGCGTATTCTTATCAATCTGGGAATAATGCCAAACTCACCACTTGCAATTCGTGTCCCACTCAACCGTCTTCTTCCAATCCATCTCATTTATTTTCTTCTGCATATTTATTGGGTAATAAAGTTCTTAGTTGATTCGTCCTCAGAGTTACTTGTTGCCTGCTCTTTCTAGTCAGCCAACTGATCTTCATTATAGAGCAGATGACCAAGTGACCACAGTATACTGTTATAAATACTTAATTTATTTAAACAACGTTCAAGGTGTGAAGAAACCTAACATGAGAAATTATCTAATTATCTACTGTAATAAATAAATTGAAGTGAACTGTGTACTAAATTTCAGCTTACAGCAAATAGTTCATTACAAAAGATTGATTACAACGAAATATTCTTTGAGATAACATGCTCTAGACCATGTTCTACAGTTATATGTCCATCCATAATAATGAAAAAACTAGGCTTACTAACAACGTTAACGTTAATTGAATAACATTGAATCAATCAATAATATGAGTAGTATCTTTGAGGGTGACAGTTAGTACCAACATAACACTACAGAGTGAATATCAGACAGATTAGGAGGATTATTAATACAGAATTCATAGATGCCACAAAAGGCCAACCAAGGTTGTAATGGTGCCTGGCTGACTAGCTGGACCTGTTTCTTCTCCACACACGCACCCGCACACAGAACACCGGTTGTTTTAGATGAATCGCAATAGCCTCTCGTGTATGGAGTATTCGGTGACGGGATGCTTTCGGCGATGTATTCGGTACCCAAAAATTGATGGAGGGAAAGGACTCTTCATTGCAAGCTGGCTTAGTGGACGGTTTGAACCAGCTGGTCTAATATCGAACAATTGGTGGGGGCTTCCATTACACGCACGCCACACTAGTAGATGTTCGCGAAAGATCACAAAAAGTCAAGTTGCTAGAGCAACGGTCAATATAAGTCGCTCGACTATAAGCTCAGTTGAATTGGTTTAATGCAATTAGAGGTGACCAGTCTAGTCTAGGTAGTTCATCTTTCAATGGAGAAATCACAACTAGTCGTGTAGAAAATAGACTTGTAGTTTACAAACATTAAAAGTTCTTTGAGCTGAATATCTTAACTTTCGCTAGGTATATCACCATTGAATACTTGATTATGTGTTTCTTGATGAACTTTTCTGGAAAGGTATTTCCAACTAAGGTGTCGTATACAACCAAGTCTTAGTTCATCTTCAGTAACGTCTTCACAGCATATAGCTCTAAACCTGTGGCTGAGGGTACTCGATCAATTCATTTTGTACTAGTAAGGAACAAAGCTATGAAAATGTGCATATTGTTCTGACCAAGAGCTTTTCTTATGCAAATTCCTCTCTATACTAACATCTGGTTTTCTTGTAAAAAGGACATCTAAGAATGCAATTCTCTTCTAGGACTCCTCTTCACACGTGAAATTGGCAGTGGAGTATACGTACTTCATTGAATTCAGTTATTATTGTGTTCCTATCCGAATCATTATCACATAGAATAAAGGTATCATCTAAATATTGGCAATAAAATGCGAATTTTCTGATAAGCTTGTTCAAATGACCATTTTCCAGTTTACTTAGACAGAAATCTGCCAGCATGGAACTCTTTATACTTGTCCGTAAAGTGTGCCGTCATATTTAAAATTCACATTTATGGTACACCTTCATAATAAAATTCTTTTAGGATTTCATTTGAAATACCAACATTTTTCAACTTGTAATACACTTGTTCATAAATTATGTAGTTAATCGTGTCTCCTAGAGATACATTTGTGAATAAAGATGTTAATATCTTTGATTTTTACAAGAATGGATGCTGAACTAAGAGTACTCTTTTCCATAACCTTCTCTTCATCAGGCTCTACAGTTATATATACATTATAGTGAATGAATGAATTAGTGTTATAAACACCATTAACATTGTCTAAATTACATCGAATCAATAATATTGATAGATTACAGCTCAAAAGCATCAACATAAATTAAGTTGAATGTCATGAAAATTAAGAAAGATAACATTACAAATTCATGAATTTATAATCTCTACTGAAAGCCAGCTAGGGCATTAGTAGTGGCCGGCTGGACTTGCTTCTCTTGAACACAGAGCACTGGTTGTTTGAGGCGAATTGTAATAGCCTCTGCTGTTTTGAGCATGCGGTGCTTCGATGATGATTTTGGCAATTTATTAGGCACCCGGTGGATGATGATAGAGAAGGATTCTTGAATGCTGGCTGGCTTTGTGACCGGTTTGCATCAGATGGTCCAATATCGAATTGTTAATGGTTTTTACTAAACCTTTACTAAGCCATAGTGGAAGACGTCCTCGAGCACGAAAAATCAAGTTCCTAGAGCAACGGCCTATATAACTCGCTCCACAAGCGCAGTTGAATTGGTAGATACAATTTGAAGTGGCTAGTCTAGGTACTTCATCTTTCAGTCGAGGTAGCACTATCAGTCGTGTTGAGAATAAGACATGTAGTTCACCAGCATTAAAAGTTCTTTCAACTGATTTTCTTAATTTCCTCGTAATTATCTCACTTGGTATATTGCCCTTGAATTGCAGTCATATATAAAGTGACTTCTCGTTTACAGATAGTGAGTAGTCCTTTTCCTGTCATGTGTTTGTTGACAAATTTTTCGAGATAGCTATTTTCGATCAAAGTATCATATTATACAATGCTTAATTCATCTTCAATTACTTCTTCCGAGCATATAGCTCTAACTCTGTGGCTGAAGGTCTTCACTAAATTTCTTTTGTATTTAATAGGAACGAAGCTATAAAGCTATGTGTATACTGTCCTGTCCATGTACTTTTTCTATGCAAATTTCTTTTTATGCTACCATCTGGTTTTCCTGTAAGGAGGACATCCAGAAAGGCAATTCTGTCATGTCTACGAATAAAATACATCATTGACTCTATATATCACTATCTATCTGTTGATACAGGAGATTTAAGAATAATTACAAACATCCATCCATCTAACTAAAGCATGATAGGGTGTATTTTGCATACTAAGCTTTTGAAATATCTAACAGGCATGTTTGATCAATAATGAATAATTTTTCAAAAAAAAATCGATTCTCTTCTTAGGTAAGGTATATATATATATATATATATATATATATATATATATATATATATATATATATATATATATATATAAACAAGGTATTGATTAATTTATCCACTTAATCTTTACGTGTTTTATGCAATGATGTAGGAATACTACTGTTATCATTATCAGTAGTGTTGATAATCGTCAATGTTGTTGAAAACAAAGATAAAGAGGTTATTTTAATACATCTACATACATATATATTTATGTTTATTTTATGTATAATATTATTACTATTATTTTATAAAATAAATGTGAATAATTCTAATCCAATGGATAATTATTTACAAAAATATAATCTACTCAATTCAAAATATTTTTCCCTCCCAAATATTTCAATTCCAAATATTTGTAATCAAACTGAAATCCAGTGTATGTGGATATATTATGAAAATAAAATACAATGTAAACCAATTAATACCTATATGTGTAATTGTCCTCCACCCATAAGAACATTTCTTAAATCATCAATTAATTGTTTACAATTAACTTATAATTATTTAATTGATATTGGTAATAATAATAACAATGATCAGAATCAATATGTTCTGCCATTCAATCCTCAGCATACAACAAAAGCCTATTTGCAAATGTTAAATTTAAATATTGATGAATCACAGTATGACTGTCAATGTAAACAATTATATGTATGGTGTGAATGGCAACCATGGTTACCATGGAGAGCGTATTGTACAGGTGGAACTAATGAATTAAAACGTACACGTTATCGTAAATGTTGTACATTGAACACTACTGAATACAATAACAATAATAATGAAGAAAATGCATCAAAATATCCCTTCACATCACTCCATTTATGTCAAACAACTTTAAATAATGATCCGCTAGATGGACAACGTGTAGAAGTACAATCAAAAATAATAAATCAATGTCCAATAAGAAGTGAATTTGTATTCAAACATAATGATCAAAAAAATTCCGACTATGATTATATATTATTAGGTATTAGTATTTCAATTATTCTTATTATTATATGTATATTAGTGTTGATTATAAAAGTTATACCACTTTAATAATTAAGTTTCCTTTTTTTTCAAGTATTGATTTGTAGGGATTTGATTGATTGGTTACAAGATTTTATTACGAGCTGATATGGGTTAGAGAACCATTGGAAAACCTGTAGGGAGTACTAGACAGCTGTTTCATCCTAGTTTGGGACTCTTCATCAGCACGCACCCACAAGGATTCGTAAACAGAAGGTCCTAGGTCCGGACTCCTTCAAGGTGGGTGTGTAATGACGAAGAGTTCCCACCAAGGACGAAATAGCTGTCCGGTGCTCCCAGGTTTTCCAGTGGTTCTCCAACCGATATCACTTCATGAAGTCTTTTTTATTTTAGAGTCTACCCTATTTGTTGTCTTATTGAAACCATTGAACAAGGAAGCAATTCAACTGTTTTAGTGGAAGCTGAAGATTTATAGCTCAAGGGGACGATTGTAATGTTTGAGCTGGATAGTTTAACTGTGACAAGCTGTCATTATCCTTCGAGACGACGGTACCTTCAATTAGTACCAAATTCAATGTAGAATTCACCGTGAATGATACACGACTGTCTTTTCTAGTGGTCTTCACTGTCAAACTACATAATAGGCCGCAGCTACCACTGGTGCTACTATATTTATAAATAAAAGTTTAATAATAGTGGGTACTGCTAATCAATACCAGTGGTTATCAACACGTAAGATTGTGACTCTCTGTAGGTGTTCGTATACGAATGTATTTGTACGCATTAAGTTTACCGATTAATGCAGTGAAATTTTCAAGTGTTGGTTTGTGGGATTTAATTGGTTAAAGGGTTTCATAGTGAGCTGACATTGGTTAGAGAACCATTGGGAAACCTGCACTCATTTACTGGATAGCTGTTTCGTCAGCACAGTTTGAGACTCTTCGGAAGTACACGGAAGTTGAAATTCATGGATTGGCCATTGGATCAGGTCCTAGTGGCTGAGTGGTCTACAAATTCACCTCGTGGTTAGACGGTCATGGGTTCGAATCCCGGCGGGTGTGTACTGATGGAGTCCCAAACTAGGCTGACGAACCGGCTGTGCATTACTCCAGTTCTGGTTTCCCAATGGTTCTCTAACCAATGTCAACACATCATTAAATCCTGTAAAACACGATAAATTCGATTCAGTAAGTAGACGGAAGTTGAGGTAGCCTAAGGTTCAAACAGGCCCTTTGTTATAGTTATTTGTGGGTGTGTGAATTACGTGGATTGGGATTAAGTGAATAGCGACACTTTTGTTTTGTATGCGTGTTCTAGAGACACAATAAACATCCAAAACCCATGATTCCAAAGTTCTGGCTAGTGATGCCTATCGTCCGACAGCTATAATTATAAAGTTGACAGGCTGATCGTAAGAGACTTATTAAAGTATTTCTTTGACTCAAGCCGGTAACGATGATCGCAAACTTAAGGCGAGATGAGGAAACCGTTTTGGGGAAGAATATTAGCGGCATGAAAAGGTGGATGATAAACAGAGGAACTTTATACGCCTGTGGAAATGTATGTTGGCAGTTGCCACCTTCCGACTCCCTACAATTGAAATTTTATATCATTATCAAGTACCTGAAAGGACGCACCATAGAATAACTGCTTGGGAGCATTTAAGTACTGCTTACTGGAAAATGAATTTTCACCCGTGAAGAAGACTTTACCGTTGTGTCCTCGTGGGTAGGGTGGAAGAATTTTGTATGCAAAATTGGTGTGATTACTGTGGTTACAGATTCTGGGAGTTTTGCATGACCTTATCTTAACATTTTGGATGAATGTCCTGGAAACCTTGTTTAACACATATTCAGTAGATATTTACTGATTTCTGGAGGTTCATGTGGGGTATTTATAGATCCTAGTCCAGATGAGGTTAAAAATGGAATCACGCATTTTAGGGATGCGTCACTCGAGGCATTTAAATACTTTACTTCCGTCGCAGTGCTTGTCACTGAGCGAGTTGGTATTTAAGCCTACATACTCGCTCAGGTAGGACAAGCTCTGTAGGTTAAAGGACCCTGTAGGTTGACCCAATTCAACAAAATCATATGATTTACAAAATACCTTGCAATGACTGTGAGTTAAGTCAACTACATAGGTTAAACCAGTAATAAATCGGGGGTAGTCAGATTATGAGGGCAAAAGCGGATGCCCGGCGCTCTTCACCGGGTTGACTGTCCATTGGATGACAGTCTAGGGGAGATGGCTAAACCCTGATTCCAAACCTCCAACGACTGGCGTATGAAGCTCACCGGCAGACGTATGGACAAAGAGCTTATTGGATGCCCTGGATGTCTGGCCCCATTCAAAAAGGCGTATGAACCGGACTCCGGCTGCCAATGGATAGTGGACTCCCTACTCCACTCCTACTGCCTTGTAGGTCACACTTGGCTGTGTAAAGGCTAGAGCTGCACTCTCAAACAAAAGGCCGAGCGATGCTGGGGACATCACTCGTACCCAATTCCCATGAAACTTCATCAACTCTCTTACAAACATTCGAGATGTTCATGAAGCCGGTTCATCCTCCCGTAGGAGATAGCCGAAGTAAAGAAGAAAGAAAGAAAGTCAGATTATCAGAACATAAGAATTTACTGGTTAAGGCTAGAATGATTGATCCCACGAAGATAGGTAATTTAGAAAAACAATTAGTCAGCAACTGCACTGCATTCACTAGCCCACAAACACACAATAGGGTGGGTGGGAGAGAGTTAAAATTCTAAGAAGTAGTTTAAGTAGGTGGAGAGAGCAAGAGAGGCTGATTACTGAATCCTTGTTCATCGAGTCTACACCCAACACGTGTAATAGGAATGACTCATCACTCATACCACCGGAAATATGGAAAATACTACTACCAATCTAGTCAAGAGATGAGCAATAATGGAATTATATAAACGAAGTGAGAAAGTTGTGTGAATAGTGGCTTGATATGATTATGGGTGGCAATAAATTGTGCTCGAAACGTGGTCATCAGTAAACATTACTGTATAACACTGTGTGACTTTATCAAAACAAATTTTACCCACAATAGAATTATACTCTATCACAGTGTACAAGTTCTATTCTTATATCAGTCACGCCATTTATTCTTTTCCCTACTGCCATTCTACTTCTTGCAAGCTGTCTGTATGCTACTTCCTGCAACCATGGATATGGCTTCGTTGTGCTATTAACAGGATGACAATGGCTCCCATTATAGGAGTATTATCCTTCTACAGACTCTCAGATGATTACGGGGACATCCACATTATTTTGATCTCACTTGCCTTAGAGTTAGCTTTGTTTGCGCTAATCATGTTTGTAATAATTTGGTAGCATTGTATTCGTCCTACTTTGCATTGTCACCGTATGTTTGGGCGTGGTTCATTGGTGAAGATAGGAAATGCCACGTCTGCTCTTATTAATGGGCCTTGGAATTTAGATGTATTGGATAATAACCAGTCAAATATTAGCGTCCCACTTGAATGTTCATCTCATGCCGAATATATACCAACAAATACTGTTAATATGTTGTCTCTGGTGAATGAAAGAGAGGCTAATATTAGTATATTGCTATCAGATAATGATCCAGTATCCCAGAATTTATTAAACTGCCAAAGTATATGGAAATAATCAACTTCTCCCTACGTTTGAAACGTTTCGTGGTAGCACGTGTGTCAAGAAGTTTTTCCAGCTATACAGTAGGACATAGAGATCAATTTCTTGCACTCAGAACATAACCGAATCAATTCGGTCGTTACAGAATCTATAGGAAGGGGCTAGTCACTATTGAACATCTCATTGATTTTGAAATATTGGTTTGTAGGGATTTGATTGATTGGCTACAGGATTTGATCATGAGCTGACATCGGTTAGAGAACCATTTGAAAACCTGCAGGGAGTACTGAACAGCTGTTTCGTCAGACTAGTTTGAGACTCTTTACAGTACGCACCCACACTGCGTGGTTCGAACGCAGGACCTTCTGGTTACAAGGCGAGCTCGTAGGTTTCCCAATGGATCTCTAACCGATGTCAGATCATGATGAAATCCTGTAACCAATCAATACCCACAAACCAATTTTTTGAAAATTAATGAGATGCTCATTAGCAACTGACCCTATTCAGGCAGATAGTTACCCACGGTTCTAGAGGGAAGCTGCGACCAATAGGGTGCAGCAGGTCCTGTGTGACGACAAATGCTCGCCCAAGACATTAGCTAGCGGTTGCACTATATCGTGAATTGGCATAAGTTACAATTCATGGACTGGCCATCGGATCGGATTCCAGTGGCTCAATGGTCTACGAACTCGCCTAGAAATCAGAAGGTCCTGTGTTCAAACCCCGGTGAGTGCATACTGCTGAAGAATACCAAAATGGGACGAAACAGTCGTTCAATACTCCCTACATGTTTTCCAATGGTTCTCTAACCGATTTCAGCTCATGATGAAATCCTGTAACCAATCATACATAAAATCCCTACAAACGAATATTTGAAAGACAGTCGGTTTTTGTAGAAGCAGTATGTTAGGACTAGAAGGAACATTCATTCCAGGCAGTACACCTTATTGAATCGTTTGAGGAAATATGCATGCTAAACTATCATATCCACGTAGTAGCTATCAGGATTTCAGGGCACAAAGAAGCAACTGCTAGAAGTTGTCTAGTTTTTTTTTTAACTAAATACCATCTCACAACACATATGGATTCAAACAGCCTACTTCGCGGCAATGAATACCCCCCCAACATACTTGATGACCCCAAATATAATCCTACTGTTGATTTCAATCACATTGTAGTACTTTTACAAAGCAAAAACAATAAATGTTTGTGGGGAAAAATAATATAAGGCCGTCATTTATTTCGTCATCGTATTCTCTTCAGCTGCTCACAATCTGAAAGTTGATTATTATGTAAATGTACATAGAATTTTGTCATACTTATAAGGCTCAGTGTGAGTTTTGTCAACAGAGATACACAATTTAATAAACAATGTTCAGAAGTTCCACTTTGTGTAACTTATAAAGGAGATCAAAGTTCATGCAAATTTAACCGTCGGATACATTAAAAATTGAGTTGCACAGTCAAGACAAGAGGATAGGAGTTGATGATGAGTAAAATAGTGTGGTGCGTCGGTGGTACAGTGGTTAGGACTCTCGCCGACCATGCACATGGCCCAGGGTTCGAGCCCACGCCGGCGCACACCTGATATCTATGGTCGGCCTGCGAAATTTGGGCTACCGATATCCATGCTGAAAATTCCATACCTGTACCAAAAATACAGTGTGGAATCAAGCTGTAAATCTAAAAATCTAAAAAAAAATGTAGTAACAAAGGAATGAATTGCACTAAAGCAAAAAAATGGGTGAGGAGGAAGTAATCAATAGAGAGAGAGAGAGGGAGAGATTGTGTAACCAATTGAGAAGAAGAGATTAGACGCTGATTGACCAATGGCAATCAATGACTAATAAGTGAATCTTTCTGAACATATATAAATCAGGTTCTAGGCGTTTAACAGAGATTGCTTCAGCAAATTTGAGGAGAGTTGAGTTATAACGTGTATTAATAATCTTGAAAGACTTCACTATGTTCACCTCCTGACTCGTTTCAACAAGATGTCTGGCAATAACACTGTTCATAGCATTTGTTCCCTTGGGACGTAAACGTAGATGTTCAGAAAATCTGAATTATGCTCTTCTTTCTGCCCTCCCAATGTAACTGCTCCCACAGATACATGTAGATTTGTATACACAATTAGAGTCAACAGAGGAAGGGTATCTATCAACCCTTGATTGTACTAAAGAGTTTGTTGTTTGGTAAACAGGAACCAATTTGGCTGCAGGATAGGCTCTGGCTGGAGACATTTTCGATATTCTGTTGATTATTCCTGCGTTATTACCTCCCTTAAAATAGGGTTGGATAAAGGTAGATTTCTTACTTACTGTGATTTATCTCACCTTCAAGTTTTTAGATCTTTCATACTTTATGATGAATTTTGTAGGATAACCACTATTTTTAAAAACATTCTCAATGTTTAGGAGTTCTTCTTCCAGTACGTCTGTGGAGCATAAATATTCTCCTGACTCCATAAAACAGAGTTTTGATCAATGCTCGTTTGTAGCTAATTGGACGAAAACTATTGAAATTTAAGTATAATCCATTCCATATGGAATTTCGGTGAATGAATCTTCACGGACTTCCATCTTCCAAGCAACGTTATAGGGCAATATCGAGGTAATCGGACTTTTCATCAACTTTATGTGCCATTGTGAGTGAAGTCAATATTCTCATGTGCGTCATTAAACAGTTGAATTAGATGAGATGCAGGATTTTCATTCTCACATAACATAAAAATATTGTCGTCAACATATCGACGATAAGAAGTTTTTTCATCGATCGCCCTTTTCAGCTTTATTTTCTCAAGATTAGACATGAAGATTTCTGTTAGTAAGGCGCCTAGTGTACTGCCCCATTATAGTGTTGTGGATTAGCATTGACACATCGACTTATCCACACTTCAGCTGTATAAGCAACTATCACATATCGATTAGCACTTTATGTCTAACTAACCTGCAAAACTGATAGTTTACTTGTTTTACTCAAAATACCTAATAGCAGTTCATACAACTTAATAGATGAAACACGTAGGTCCAATTGTTCAACAGTTTCAAGTATTGGTTTGTAGCGATTTGGTTGATTGGTTACAGGATTTCATCATGAGCTGACATTGGTTAGAGAACCATTGGAAAACCAGCAGGGAGTACTGAACAGCTGTTTCGCCCCAGTTTGGGACTCTTCAGCAAGTCGGGTGTCAGGACAAATACTCGCCGAAGACATTGGCTAGTGGTTGTGCTATTTCGTGAATTGACAGAAGTTAGAATTCATGGACTGGCCATCGGATCGGGTCCCATTGGCTGAATGGTCTACGAGCTCGTCATCCTTGTAACCAGAAGGTCCTGGGTCCGAACCTCGGTGGGTGCGTGCTGATGAAGAGTCACAAACTAGGACGAAACAGCTGTCCAGTACTCCAGTGCCGGTTTATCAATGGTTCTCTAGCCGATGTCAGCTCATAATGAAATCCTGTGTTCAACAGTTTGTAGAGGATCAAAGAAGTCTGTCAAGACAATACTGAATCTCAGCCGTTTCACTGTCAACGATCATCAGTTTGTTTATCCGTGCGAATTGCAGTACATGGTGGTCAATATCTAGTATTCAAGGGACAAGAGCTCGGTGATGGCATTGTGGTGTGATAATTGCCTACCTGCATAATCTAAGCTTATCACAGTTAATAATAAATACACCTATGAACAGCTCTGAATGTTATATCTCTCCTTTGTGAGTATTGGGGCGATGTTAAGAACAGCCTAGCCACCAGCAAGTTAGGTGGGTCAGGCTAACGAATCAGCAGATAGTAGTACGGTTAGAGCTCATATCTAATAGTTTCTAATAGAAAACAAGGGCCTGGAAACAGATTGTTTATTCATATGAAAAAGAGAAGACGTTCAGCGAAGAGACTCTTTTCGGCGAATTCATTCACATAGCTGTACAATCGCATTTATATATAATTATTTGAGTGTGTGTGTGTACATGAGGTTTGTCAAAATTAGATAATTGATCAGGTAATAAAAGAATGATCTAATATAGAAACAAAGTTAATTGGACAGCAACTAAATTAAGATTGAGTTAGTAAGTTAGATGACGTAATACAATTGACTAAAATGTTTTAACTTAGGTCAGGTTAGCAACAGAGGTAATTACAGGTAGAGACTAAGTAGAAGTGGGGTAGATAATAATGCCATTTAGATTAGAAATGAAATTGAGCAATTAAGTTGGATGACGTAACATAAATGACTATAAATTGAGCGTTGGTCAGGTCAATTAAAGTGGTAGTGAGGTGTAGAAATTAAATCGGGTAGGGGTAGAGACAAGAAAGTTGAAAATGCAAAATATTACAATTGAGAAGACAGAATAATACCAATGAAGAGACAGAAAAAAAAAATTAGGTAGAATTTACCTTTCAGGTAATAATGTAGGTTAAGTCCATTGTAAGTTTAGTGATTGAACGAACCTCTTCTGTATGCAGAGTTCAGGGCTTAGCAAGTGAATCGCCATTGCTTCTGCAGTTTGAAGAAGTCTGATTCGTACACCTTTTGGAAGACTACTTCTTACTCTGTAGACGACTTTGAAGTTTGTTTGGGGTGCAGCTTGGTGTCCGGATTCTATCAGGTGTTCTAAGATGGAGCTGCGGGGACATCGCTTTTCTCCTTTGTAAAACCATGCTGGTAAGTGTTCGGTGATACGCTTGGAAAGCGAACGCTGGGTACGGCCGACATACCTGGCTCCACACGAGCAGGTGAATTGGTAGATACACATTGATGAGGCCAACAGTGGTAGCTTATCCTTCACGTTCACATGAATCATAGGTTTTGTGGAGAAAGTTAGTCGTAGTTCAGCTGCGAAGAAAGTCTTCTTGAGTGAGCGCGACAGTCGATTTTTTAGTATTTCCGCAGATATATCTCCATTGAATTGAAGGTTTATGTAGAGCGGTTTCTTCGGGACGCTATGCGTGGGCGGCTTTTGTGGCCTAGGATTCATAGATTTTGCAATAAATCGTTCTGGGTAACAATTCTCGACGA